TACTCTGACTCCACCCTTTCACTTAATTACAGGGTCTGACCAGGAGATGACGCTTAATGTCCACAAATCATGACCGAAAGAATATTTTAGTACAAAGATTGATGTTTAAAAAGGAATTTTAGGGGACCAGCCAAGGATCTATCATGGAAAGTGGTGAAATTTTGAATCGCTACTACTGAGATGAGAGTTATCTTACTTTCTTTAGCCAACTGAATGCATTCAATTCTTGATAGCGAGAGTTTGAAGGGTAACAAGCAAACCAGTAGGTGGCAGTGATGGAAGATATTCTCAAAATTTAGATGTAACATTTATCTGTTTCACTTCTTAAAAAGAATCAGAGCGAAGCCATTTGAAATCCTTCATTTCGATCGATGTCGATCCAATAAGAATATTTCATTCATAAATCTTGATTCTTTAAATTAGAAAATAGGGTATTAAAAACAGCTTTGTCTAGTCGGCAGACTCTCTTTATGCAATCTGTTCTGCGCACACTAGCTCCTATTTATTTTGGAGGCTTTCATAAATTTAATCAATTAATCCCCTTAGTGTTAAGCGTTATGTTGACGTGTCAGTTATCACCAACCTGCAATTGTCAGCCAAGCAGATTTGTACCATCTTCACTGTACCTCCTTATTCATAATTTTAAGGCACTTTGAGAAGCTAATAGCAGGTGGCATCAACAGTCAGATAAAGCTGGTGTTGGTTTGGTCCAAAATAAACGATGAGATCCTTTGTGGTTTACGTAGTTGCGTTTTGGAGAATGTCTAAATAATTATAATAATCCTTTGAATTACAGGTCACTGTTGTGCAGTTCACACCCCATTGACATTTGGGATTCTTAAAGTGATGTAAGAAAGGGATTCAACAGTTTATTTATCCCTTTATTAGGAATGTCTGCTCACAAACTGCTTGTCAAGCCGGCTGACAGCACTGCCACAGAAACACTGAGAAACCATCATCAGTAGAAAGAGCTGGAAATAAAGACGATGACAGAATGAAGGACGACACAAGAATCGCTATTAGAATACATTTAATGCTTTCTGATTTTAAATACTTCAATTGAAGAAAGCTGATCTACAGCGAACAGAAAACAGTTTGCAAGGGAAAAAATCCTTTAACCTAATTCTAAAAAAATGAAAGGCAGCCTCTTTAAAGCTTCATCGTGTATAAGGACTGTTTGGAATTAGACGACGATCAAACCTAAACTTCTTGACGAGGTATAAATGGACTTAATATTGTATGCAAAGTACATATGCTTAAATGGAAATCTCTTTATTGTCCCACAGTGGGGAAATGCACTATCTGCATTTGACCCATCTGTTGGGGAGCAGTGGGCTGCCATTGTGTGGCGCCTAGGGAGCAATCAGGGAGTAAGGGTTTTGCTCAGGAACCCGGAGTAGAGTCTGTGGGGATCAAACTGGTTACTTGCAACTTTCTCGGAGAACAAGCGTACTGCTCTAACCCACTAGGTCAACACTCCCCCAGAATCATATGTGGAAGTTTTAGGGCCATTAATTAACGAAAAAATGGCGACTATCTCATCTTTCTTTAAACCCATTGTTTGACACACCCTCTGACTTTTACCTACTAACCAACCCCTCGATGTAATGAGCTCTGGTCGCCACTAATCAAGTAGAAAAAAATAAAATCATAAAATGGATGAAATATTACGGAAGATTATTTACATCAGGTGTTTTAAAAAAAACACAAAAATGGCTGTAACAGACTGTTCAAATTGATTTATTTTTAATCTAATCTAAATCCACAATTAAAAGAAATTACACAGCGCACAGTGTAACAGGAGAAAAGATTTAGTGTCTTGAAGGCTTCACATATATTTACGGCCTCCATAAAACACTAGTCTGTCAGACGGCGCTCATTAGGGAACATTTTTTAGACGTGGCCCTTTGATCTGCGCTTGGTGGATTCGGGGCCTTTGTATCGGCTTTTCTGTCTGGTAGAAGAGTTGGACCGTTTTCCTAAGAAGTAAGGGAGAGGAATGCAAAGGGATCGCAATAACTTCTACAACTTGACTCTTGCCTTTTTTCACAGTTGTGCGAGCTTGTTTTCATTAGTGTTCATCTGCTGATCCATTAACGGTCAATTCCATTAACAAAGCACTGTTTGGGGAGTGTAAAGACAAGTGGTTGGTTGTAAAGGGAAAGTATAATACTGCAATTATACCTGGTCAAAGGTTTTAAACCCCTTTTTCATTTTCCTACCTTTCCTTAAAAAATTCAGAGGGAAAACAGCCATGAGAATCTGTTAAATGTCATTTATATATATTTTTAAATTGGGCATTGTTTTTGTGTAGCCACAATGACTAACATACATATTCATCCACATTTTAATAAATACTGGTTCAAAAAAATAAATAAAACTGATGATAAACTGATGAGCCATGACTTGGCCCGGAGGACATTTTCCTAAAATATTTACGGTTCAAACAGATTTCTATCATCCCTCAATCCACCTTAAATTAATCATACATGGTTTAGTTTATGCCTTGACCTTCTTTACCCCCTTTCCACATTTTAAAATCCACTTGAGAAAATCCTTAGCTCCCTGTCACGGTTTAGTTTGGAGATTGGTTTTGAGTTGGCTAAAATTAACTGAATTTTATTTCTGATAGTTTCTGAAAATTATATGAATCTGTTTGAATACAAATTGTTTTTCTCGCAACATTTTACTCTAATCCTAAACATAAAGTGGCCCTGTGAAAGTGAAGGAAATATGTTTTCTAGATCTACCTGCAGTCAGGACTATTTTACACCCCTCTGTTTTCCTCACATACTGCTTAATCTGTTATTAGGATACCTTTCAGGTTGAACGGGCCTTTGACATTAAATGAAACTGACTTGATTCACCCGAACTCCAAATGATTTAGGAATTTTTTTCTGCTGTCTTTCTGGGATATTTTAGTTCAGGGTTTTATATAAAGAAACTGAACAGAAAGTATTGCTTCTTGTAGATGGCTCACCTCTTTATCGCAAGGCTTGCACACATGGATACATTTTTACACCCACACGAAGACCTGCTGGCTGTAGTTGTTTCCAGTTCACCTGGGAACAACTGCATGTCTTGGTGCTCTAGTTAAACCAAAGCTAAGAAATACTGGGAAGAATAATTGGATCCTCGACAGGGAAGAAGCTTCTAACTCCGGCAAACCAGCATAGGGGGCTTAATTTGTAACCAGATGGCTTTTGAAGGTGTTTGCAGACTGTTTCTTGACTGGTTATTGTGAATGAAAAGATGATCTGTCTCTGTGATTGTTCTTTAAAGTACAGCCAGATCATTAAATCAAGTATCTGTTTATTATAGTATTGCATTTTGGGATGTATATTTAACGACCACATCTTGAAATACTTTTGGCTTAAAAACATTTCCTTCATAAATTCTGTTTCACATTCCCAAGTCCAACAGATTACTCTCTGATTCTGCATCCAAAGGAGAGCACAGCAGTATTTAAGACAAAGTGCTCGTCTTGTTACAAACTGAATATCTGTTAATATGATGTGCATGATAATAAGGCAGAGAAACACTGCTTTAGGTCATGAATTAAATCTTTATCTCAATTTCATTTTCTTTTTTTTTTCTTTTTGTAAAACCAGATTAATCCAGTAAATTGCTGCAATTGTTAATGCATGCATATCATCCACAGTTAAAAAAACCTCCAAAAACCTTCAGGTCAATTTTGAATCAGCAGTTTTAGACTTCGTTAATCAAATGATCTGAGAATGTAAGGTTCACAGAAAAACTACACAACAGATTCAAGCTTGGTTATAATAAAAGTTAAGTGTGAGCATTTGGATTTTTATTGAAAGACAGGAATAGTTATTCCAGTTTAAAAAAAAACAAATTATGATCTTTCAAAAAAGATAAGTCATTTAAAGATTTCCTAAAATTAAATTGTTGTTTGCTGTAGTATTCACTGAACCTCCAGTAACTGGTGAGCAAAACATTGATTGGACCATTTGCTGGTTATTTCCATACCTTATGGAAATCAATATTCAGAGATATTTAAAATAAGATATTTTCCCTTGGCTGCAGTGCATCAACATCAATATAAATGTCTCCATATAAGAAAACAAGCAGAATTAAGATATTAAATATGTCTTATGTTATGACTATGCAGAAGTGCGTCCTATTCAAGTAAACCTGAGGGGATGATTACGTTAAATGGAAAAATACTCTTGTGCAACATTTGACCGAAACAGCAGACTGAATTATGACAATATTCATCCAATAGCTGCATTTTTTAATTTCACCATGTAATTAAGATTGTTGGCTGTGACACAGGCCTCACAGAGATTCATCGTATTAACTCTTAAACTTGTTACAGTCTAAAAGGCTCACAGCAGCAACATTAGGAGTTAAACTACGTTACAGTGAATTGGGATGAATCTAAATCAACAGTTTAGCAGAATTCAGTCATTTGCTTTCTCTTTTTATTGAAAAAACAAATAAAATAAGGTTATAAAAAATGTTTTTTTTTTCTTCAAAGGAACATTTATGGCTTAAATTGTGAACCTTTCTCATTTAACTGTTGGCTTGTTAAAATCTCATATCTGTAATTGAACTGAAACTATTCTGATGTAAACAATTATCAATATTTTAAAACAGAAAGGATAATACATTTGTTTTTCCCACTTTGTTCAGGGCAAGTCAATTTATTTTAGTTTTCACCTCTGGTAACAATAGTTTTGTTTATCAAAGGGAATTGGAATCAAAGTAGCCTTGATTCTGTATAAAGGGAACATTTTTATTTTTTTTAACCCTTTTATGTTAAGTTAAATGATTGGATTTAAATCTATTCAAGCTAGGAATGTGTACAAGAAAAAAAAAAAAAGACCAAACCAAGGTTTCTGCGTACATCAGTTTGCAAACAATATGCAAACAATTATAACCATTTTATTTAAAAAATATATGTTTTGAAGGGACAATATTGTTTTTTTTCTTTTTTCAGTTTGGCACATCTTATCCACTATACAGATATGAAATTGTACATATTACAATACAAAAGGAAAATGGGAAGAGAAAAGCATTCAGTTTTGCACAAAGAGTTTGAAAATGAGAATAGGGAATCTTTTGCTTCTTTTTCCATTTCAGCTTTTTTTTTTTTCAGCAGGAAGAGAAGAACTAGGATGACAGGAGGAAACAGAACAGTTTACAAAGAGCCAAAGTGCAAAGGGATGCATAAGTCTACAAATTCTGTGGATTTTTAGTCACATGGTACAACTTCAGACAGTAAATTGTCTGTGATGATTGAAAAAAAAAAATCTTTAGATTTTCACTGACTTCCCTTTTCATCAGAAATGATGTCTGGTAATGTTTGCTGAATGAAATTGAGAAGTAATTTCCTCCCAGTTGGATTTTTGAACATGCAAGGTCAGAAGGGCAGTAGTAAAAGCAGTGCTAAGCTGGAAAGGAAACTCTAAAGGGGAATTATTTGGCTTCAGATGAATGGTCTGAACATAAAACGTAAAAATTTTTTGGTTACATATATATTTTTTGTTGATCTGATTTTTTTATTTTTTTTTAAGGACACACTTCTATAGATGTTTATGTAAATGCTCGAAGCCAAATTAGTAGACTAAACCTCAAATGGCTCCTTCTGCTTCTATCCAGACTCGCCCAACCAGAGAAATGATCTCATCCCCTCAGTATGATGCATCTTCCTTAAAGGTGGTGTGATACCGGAGCAGTGGCTCATTGCTGCGTCATATGAAACCAAACGCTGAAAGTAGTGACTCTTGCTGTTTTGTCTACGGTTAAACCACAAGCCATTATAATTCAGTAACTGTTGTATTTAATCATTTTATATTTAAGTCATTATCCATTAATTTGGCCCTCTTTTTTTTTCTTTCCTCCCATCAATTCTTCTTCAATCCCACATACCGTCACCCTGCTCCCTCTCCTGAATCGAACATGAAGTGCGAAGCTGCAGCAGCTTCAGACTGATGCTAATGCACATCCTCTCTGTTGCATACAAATGTGTCCTCACTAAAGCCCGCTGTTTGCTTATCATTGGCTCTCCATTTGCCTAGAGGAGTGAGCCCCGTTTACCTCGACAGTTGTTAGTCCAAACATAAAAACTGATATATTTAGAAATCCATTCTCAAGCCGCAGGTGACAATTTGATTGATTTCTGTTGCATAAAATAAAAAGTTTAACGGGTATTTTTGGTCTAATCGCACCAATGATGACAAAACTGCTACAGTTTACAGATGAGGGAGCTAGACGTTGCTAGATCGCTTAAACGGGAGGCAGAATATTAGATTCCTTTTTTTTCCTTGCCTTAATTGGCTCAATCTTGAACCCGTCACTCTTGGTTAGTCTGTAAGCTTAAAAGTGTGGGCTTCTGTTGGAGGTTTTTATTTTTAAGCTTAAAATGTTCTGGCATTTGCTCTCTTCATTGCCCTTTCACTTGCTACTTGAATATCACAGAAATCTATAAATTGATCCCACTATGCCAAATCCGCAGATGTACTTAAATACATTAAGGGCAAAGAAATATTGCTTCACAGTTTGTATGGCCTTTAGAAAATGTGTAATCCATATGTAAATCATCTTACATTAAAGGTGTTGTAGTTTTGTGTTAAACCCAAGGCGGAACTCTAGACTTTCTGTTTTTAATAAAACTGATTGGATATTAAGTGCTGATTATTGTTTATTGTTTTATTTGTATTACCTGACCCCGATTAGACAGAAGCTCAAACATGATATGACTAATGCCAGGGGTAAACCAGGATTTCTGAGCACATGTCTGTGTTTTTGACTCTAATTTTAGCTAGGTTTCGACACAAAACATTAGAAAAAATTCAAAATCTATGTGGAACAGGCTTAAAACTGTAGGTCGATCAAACTTCCACATAGCTGATTGGATGGATGAAATGCCTTTTCAGGTTTCCTCTCCATAGATTTATTATCAGTATGGTTGTTTTTAGTGCCTTTAATGCTTTTTGGGAAATATAATTTCAAAATGTTACCTATTATTTAAAAAACAAAACAAAAAAAACAACATAATCCTATCCCTTCACTTTAGGTCCTTTGTTATCAAAGGGCTACTTGGCCCAATAATGAAGCTGTGCTGCAAAATATAGACAATGTAGAGACAAATCTCACAGTTTACAATTTTCTTATTTAAAATGATTGCCCCTGGCTGATATGAACAACCTTTCTTTCATAGAAAAATAAAATTGTGACTATCATATAGTGTCTTTACCGTCCAGCCTTTTGTCTTTTGTAGCATTCGATATTGATCATGTTTTCAAATGTCACTTGTAGAAATCAGGCTTTTTACACAAACAGGAGACAAATTAAAGAAGCAAACCCTGTTTCTTCTGAGATGGTCAAATGACGAACCTTATGGTCTAGGAATAAATAGGAGTTCATACTTCACACTCTTTGTAAGGCAGTTGCTGACACTTGCACTGCCCATAGCCATTGATGATGACGAGCGCCCCTTCCTCATGGCTAGGCTCGTACTCGTTATAGGGTACCTGTGTGGCTAGGTCTGCCATTGGCTGTCGCTGCTGGGTCCTCATCTGTCTGCGGTTCTGAATCCCCGAACAGTGACGTATCCGCCGCAGAGTGGGGGGGCAGCACTTTCGTGAGATATACACAACAAAAATTATGAAAAAGAATGAAAAGAGAAGGGCCATAGTTCCAATAATAACCCTATGAGTCATGACAGTGTTGTCTATCGCTAACAAATCATCCGTTACAGCTGCCTCCTCCAGCAAAGCAGTAGTTGCTTCAGAAGTGCTTGGTTTTTGTGTTGTGGTTGTGGTGGTAGCAGGTGTGGTAAAGCTCCCAAAATCCTCTGCATAGTCCTGTGTTGGGGTCGGCTGCATAATTCCAAACAAGGAGCTTGTAATGTCAGCAGCCGTAGTGGTTTCTGTGGTCGTACTGATGGTCTGAATGACTGGCGCTGAGAAGTTCTGGCAAAGCTGGAATCCATAGACGGCGTCGAGTATCTCCTCGCCTTGGGCGTATTCTGGACTGTGGCAGAGGATGGAGTGTTCCCACCTTCCCTTGAAAGCGCTCAGCCACGTGGCCAGAGAGCAAATCCTTTTGGTACATTCCCAAAGGTTGCTGGACAGTCCAATAGTACTCAAGGACCGCCACATATCCAAGACCTGGCGCTCCAGGCTGCTGAGTTTGTTGTTATCCAGAAGCATAATTTTTAAATTTGGCAGCGTTTGAAAGACATCAGGTGTCAGGACACGTATTTCGTTTCCTGTGAGGTCCATCTTTTCTAAAGTGGTCCAGGTCCACTCCATCCCACATGTGACATTGTTGATCTTATTCCACTGCAGATACAGAAACTGGAGGGCGACGAGACGAGGGAAATGGGCCAAGTTAATTTTGGTCAGCTGATTATGCTCCAAGTGGAGCTCTTTAAGCTTGATAAGCCCAGCAAATCCATTCCGGGCAACGCTCCGCAGACGGTTGCTGCTCAGGCCCAGATACTCCAGGTTACGGCAGTCCCAGAATGCTCTCACAGGTGTGGTGCGAAGTAAATTTGAGCGTAGGTGAAGTATCTGGAGCTTCCTAAGTCCATGAAACAGTTCTGGTTCCAGTGATGTCATCTGATTGAAGGAAAGGTCCAGGATCTGAAGGTTGATGAGGTGGATGAAGGTTGTGTTGGGCAACTTGGTGATACGATTGGAGCTCAGGTTGAGATCCTTCAGTTTATAGAGCCCTTGAAAGGCATCCTCTTGTACGGTGGTGATCTGGTTGTGGTCTAGATGAAGCCAGGTGAGCTGACTGAAACCGTAGAACTGATCAGGGGAGAGCTCAGTGATGCTGTTGTGGCGTAGCGACAACCCCAAGGCGCCCTTCTCCACCCCATCTGGTGGTGCCTTAAGCTCCTGGGTGTCGCAGTAGAACTGCAGGTCCTCACAGCGGCATTTTTGAGGGCAGGTTGTGCATGATGCGGGAGACAGCAGGCACGCTAGGAGCATACTGATCACACTCACAGCCACTGGTGCGGGTCCCACCAATGGCCACCTTGAATGGAAACCTGGGTCGGTTCAAAGACAAGAAAATGAACTTTGGGGCGGGAAGCCTAATCTCTGCAGAGCACCTATTAGAAATTCAGGCTGGAAATGGTGCCTTTTTACTCTCTCCATCTCCAAGATATTAAGCAGGCAAAACATTTTACATTTGAAACTTAACTCAATGCATACAAACAGGTTGTCTTAAATCATAGCTCTAATCAGGACATCCAATTAGACATATTGCCACCAATTACATGTGACCTAGGATGATTTCATTTTCTAGAATTAGGATGCCCTGCTCTTATTTTTCTTTCTTGTGCTGCAAGAATTAATTGCATATCAACGTCTCAAGAGACGTAAACATCCTTTCCCCTTAACCCCCAGAATTTTGAAGGGATATTTGTAACCAACAGATGATATTTTTTAGGGGGCATCTTCTTAACTTAGTCGCTGAAGAGCAGTACATTTGCGTGTGGGGTGGAGGTGGTGGGGGGGGGGTTGCAGTACAAATTGAAGCGGAGGAGCTTTTAGTCTTCACCCTCTCTCCTTTTACTTGTATTCTCTATTCTTTACCAGACCTACCATATAAAAGACCAACTTACCCATTCTTTTGTGTACATCGGAGGCTGCATTCAACTATCCTTTTCCAAAGACTCTTGGAGCAACGGGATGGAAGAAAAATCCAAAGGGAAAAAACCCTTTTGAGTAAACACAAAAGGAATCAGCTTCTTTTGAAATAAAGCAATTCTGAACCCACCTAATTGAAACAAAATGTAAATTTCCATGTCACAAGATGTTTATTCCTTATGTTTTTACCAGAGTCCCCTAAAATCCAAGCTCAAAGAAGAGGGAATGTTTCTTCTCTCAACCCACAAAATCCTTGATAAAGATAATTTTTTTCCCCCTCCAAGTTGATCAGTTAGATCCGGAGCGACTCCAGTCAGCAGCTCCCCCTTTTCTCTTCTTATTTCACCCTTTTGTGTTCCTTCAATGCAGTGATGTTGGCTCTGACGTTCAATTGAAGAACAAGTGTTTTTCATTCATAGCCGTGGTCATCCAAGCTTAACTTGTTGATGGCAGCGCAGAGATCTGGTGTCTGACGCCGGTTCGGTCTCGTCAGAGCCTCTGCAGAGCTGTGAGCGGAGCTCTCATCCGCCAGCAGAGACGCAGGGAGAGGAAAAAAAAGCAGAGCTGGGAGTCGGGGATGTTATTCTGTGCTTTTTGTTGCAGCCACTCTCTGCTGCAGAGTGGTGGCAGCCTGGCGTCGATCATCACCGCTGTTTCTCTCTCTCTCTCTCTCGCCTTTTCTCTCTCCCACACAAACAGCCGCTCACTCTGCTGCTCAGTCACTTGCTCTCTGCCTCATACACAGTTCTTGGGCACCTTAGTCTCCCTCCACCTCCCTCTTACTTCCCCTTTTCCTCCCACTGGCTCCTCAGCATCAGAATATTGATACCTTGAACGTGTTGCCGCAGCTTGCTGTTGGAATTAACCACAGCTGTAAATCCCAGCAGCCTCTGTGTTGTTGTTCTCCAGACACTGAATATGTAGTTAAAACCTAAACAGAATAAAAAGAAGCAGCCAGTCAAGTTTTAAGGAGGTTGATTCACAAGGATGCTTAATCTAAAGCATGATCTAAAAGGAGAATTTCTTGTTTTGAGGGACCATTAGTTCAGTCCTGCTTCCAATACTGGAACTCGAATAAAATCATATTACAAGCTAAGAAATGTACTCCAGAATATAGGGTTAGAATGGGGGAAATGGGTCCCTTTTGGATCAAGCTTAATGGGAGTCATGGTTTGATAAGGCTGCTTAATAACTTACTTTATTACTTACTTTTTATTTTTCCCTTGATTCTAAAATCCAGCAGGGTATTACCATTTCTCTATCTTTTCAACTGCAGCTTAATCCATGTCCAGGGATTTAGTGTAGTTCAGTGCTTAAATTATTTTAAGGTTATTTATTGCCAACTGATTTTTGGTTTTAAAAGAACCCAGGCCCAGCACCGCCTGCTGTGTGTGCGGTTAAGCCTCATGTGATCCACATTGGGCAGGTAATCAAAAACCTGTGAATATTTCAGGGATTTTATTTCGGTTTTAGTGAGTAACCATTGTAGTCGCCGTGACAGAACCATTGCTTAGGTTTTATGGTTCACGTCCACAGCGAAGCGAGTGTGGCTCCCTCTTACATGCGCTGCAGCCAAACAAGACATCTGTCAGTTTTATTACGTTTCTAAAGCAGCAACACTCCTGCAGCTGAACCGACCCTCTCAGCAGTGGATGTAATTTACATTAATGACTTACTTTTGTACCCCGCAGTGGGAATGACGGAAACAGGAGTAGAATAAAGGGCGTAGAAAAGGAAAACAAATGCGTCGGGTTACAACTCTAAATATGATGCCTTAAGTTGTGAAAAGTTTCGATTAGTCCTGGATTTCCCAGGAATCTGTGTCTTGTGATATCTAAATCAGGTCGACTTCGCGTCTCACAACTTATTCTTTTTTTCTCTTAATTTTTTTTTACCTACATTTACCAGTTAAGGGCTGTGTATCCTCCCGCAGCACACGCAGTTAGCTTGTTGCAGGTATGACGCAGATATTTTTGATTTTTGCCCAAATTGTTTAAGCATGGTCTGTGCTATGTTATTCCAGGCCACAATGCAAGAGGTACAATCATGAACTAGCTAGGATTGTGGATTTCTGTGTGTCGGGAGCTAGTTCGCCGTCTGCAATCCTTCATCCAACGACGTGCGACACACATTTCAGTCGTGAGTTTTCCCAAAAGGCTGGCCGTTGCGCTGCATGTTTTGGCTTCGGGAGCAAACCAACAGGCTGTCGCACGGTGTCTAGGATAGTGTCCGAGGTTTGCCAGGCATTGTGGACGGCATTACAGCCAGAGTTTCTGCCATTAGGTACCAAACAGGAAATACACATAGTGTAGAATGGATGTAGAATTGACCAATCAGAGGCCTACTTTCTCTCCTTCCTGTGACACTACCTGCAGCACTGTCTACGGTCAGTAGAGACTGAAATTTTTTCGGGAATCCCACGGGTCATGGGATTCAAGTGGGATGGGAGTCAGTATTAGTAACGATCACGTGATTGGGACGGTACAGGATTAAACATTAACGGGAGCAGACGAGAGCAAACCAATAGTAACTAAAAAAAACTAGGATCAATGACAAAAAATAAAATGGAAAGGAAAAAAAATCGTGCCGCCATTTTATAGTTTTTTTCCTTGAAGCCTACCCTATAATGCGAGTCAAAAAAACTACACGACCCAAAAACCAACAGTGCTTCCGCTCAGAGTTTTTCACCCACGCTCAAAAACAACAATGGAGGGACCAACAGTTACTACAGTTAGAAACAGGAACTTAACTGACCCTTCATAGAAATTCAGATTCAATGTATTGGCAGAAATCTTATTGAAGACAACAAGAATGGGAGTGGTGCAGGAGCGGGAGTCATTCTGAATGGGAGCGGGATGGAAGTGGGAGTAATTTCACCAGGAGTGGGACGGGACAGGATTTAGATTTGTACTCTGGCCCGGGATCGGGACGGGACACAATTTTTTTTTTTTATGTGGAAGTTAAACGGGACAGGAGTGAAAATCCACTCAGTCAGTCTCTAGCGGTCACCTACAATTTTGGGGGGTATCTGCGGGGGGCATATCCACGTTAACTGCGACGCACGCAGACGACCTGGTTTCTGGCTTTAGGTTCCCCAACTGTCATAAATGTTTGGGGTTTTATTAAACCGTATAAGGTTAATCATAAGGCTGACTTCGCTTTTGGATTCAACATGTTCTGAGCAAATGTTTTGCTCTGATAATTTAAAAGTTTTATTTTCTAAAGATTTAATTTTGTTTGAAGTGTTTTTTTGAAGAGAATATGACCGACCAGAGTACCATCAAATTTGTGCTTTTATAATAAGCGCCTGAAGAAAATCTGTGGACCTTCTGGCCGAGATGGGAAATGGAGCCCAGGCATGAAGGGATTCAAAGGCTAGGTGTAAGCAGGCTAAACCTCTTTGCAGCACTGGATTCAGAGAACGCAAAATCAGAGGATTTGTGCTTTTGGCTCTCTCTGGTTCCCAACTATCTGCACACCCCACCCCCACCCAATGGGCAAAGGGCAGCGGGGAAAGAGGTCAGTGCCGCCGCTGTCCGTGGAGTTAGTCGCACTTGATTTCAGCAATATAAGGGGGATAAAATGCCTAGAGCTTTACGACTTGTTTGCCTTTTCCTCTGCAGCCCTTTTGTGATGTTTTCAGAATGGATGCATCTCATGCCCAGCTCCTCAGTCTCCATCCATCCCTCCATGTTTCTTGAAAGTTTTACATTTTGAGGTTATGCTTGAGCGAGCTGTGGAATGTGACTGAGCATTTCTTGGCTCTCAGTGGGGGGGTTTGTGGTTTGGACCGACTGCTGTGCAGCACTTTGTGGTCCGACTGCTGCCTACTATGTTTAAATGGTACTGTACATAATTTACAGTTAACCAGCTGTAGCTAATTGTTTTTATTCAGCAACCATGCCATTGGAGAATCTGAACAGCCAGCCTTATGCAGGAATAACTGGGACATATTTATCAGCTTTCTATGTACGATCAAGCGACAGACCTTCTCCATACCAATGTGGATTAAATCAGATTTTTTTTCCCCTTTCATAGCGTCCAACTGAAGCTCTGCTTCCCTTCTCAAAATATGGGATGTGAAATTGTTGATGTTTCACAGGGAGAGCGCATTATTTTTAAAATTCTGCCATGATTGCAATCCTGCCCTGCTTTTTCCAAAACATTGTTGCAGCACAGCTCTGCTTGGAAACAGGCCCTTAAGCCACATCTGTAAATGCCTCCTTAAACCAGGTGCAGCTTTCCCTTTTATTGGTTGTAAGGTCCGAATTGAGGCTGCTTGTTGTCCCTCCGTTTGCTGCACCGGCCTTGCTAGCTGTGAAGCACGTAACATTTACATACCGATTACAATAAGGAGCAAATCTGAAGCGTGTAATGAGAGCATGTAATCACGTTACACTGCAACAGTTGCAATCTGACTGATTGCATTAATACGCAAATAAACAATTACAGCAGGCGGCTCCAGGTTAAATGAAAGACGTTATATTTCCTTCACTGATTGCTGCTTGGTCTGTGTCCTGCGTATAAACCACATTCTTTCACCTTCTTATTAAAAACTTATTGTGCATATTTACTTTTAAGGGGCATCATTTGTATAAATTAGAAAAGCTAAAGAAGCTTGTATAGATTAGGAAAGGAACACATGTTTCGGAACCCTTTGATAAAGCAGTCTATTGCCATAATAAAGCATAAAGTCAGATTTCACAGGCCTTTTAAAAGAAAATAATTTATGTTAGGGCTGGGCGATAATTCAATAACGATATATATCGATCGATAGACGTGTGGCGCAATAGAAAAAAAGAGAGTTGATAAAAGTTCGATAAAAAAGAAACGCAGTTTTCCTTCCTTCTCATTGTAGCCTAGCATGTAGGTTTATGCTAGTCACTGCTTCCTCCCAACCAATCACAAAACGCGGACCCAGGCATGCCGTCACAAAGCGCCGCTCTCTCAAACCACAACACAGAGTACATGAAGCTGTGCAGCAAGGAGAGGCGGAGGAAATTGTTACAAAGAAAGGTTTTTGTAGTTCGGCAGTCTGGCAGTATTTCGGTTATGGCAAGTCGGACCAAAAACAAACCACAGCCATCTGTAAAATGTGTAGGGAACCAGTGAAAACCAGTCTGATAACGAAACCAATTTTTTTTATCATCTCAGCCGCTCACAACCGCAGGAGTACGAGCTGTGTAGGCCCCGGCGCGGCTCTCCTCCGAGGAATCTTCGGAAAATATATATATATTTTCAGTTCTGGGCAGTTTCCCACGTAGTTCTAACAATTGAGATAAAAATGCTGAGGGGCCAGAAACTTCAAAGTAATAACTCAGGTTAAAGCAGGAAAAACGGGGGCGGCGGCGGCGGTGGGGGGGCATTTATTTATTTGTTATATTTATTTTGGTCACTTTTCTGGTCACTTTAGTTTATTCTTTGTCAGTATTTAATAACATAACCCAGGTCTCTTAAGTTATTTTTCTTTAAAACAATTCTGTTATGGTTAAAAAAGTTGGTTAAATAAAGATTTAATTCGAAGTCTGTGTTTGTGTTTTTTATTAAAATTAAATCATTTAGCAATATTAGAAAAAGTCCAGGCAGAGCTGCACATAAAATATGGTTTCAAATCTTTTCAATAATTATCGATATCGATCAATATGCATTTTTTTTTTATTGATAAGCTTTTTTTCTACATTTCTATACATAAATGCATGAAACTCTTCCTTTTTTTGCTGATTAAATATTCAATACAGCTGATTAAAATCTGTTTTAGATCAAATTTACCCTTATTTTTATGCATCGTATTAGCCTATAATGATTAAGAAATATTGCCCATCTGCCGTTTCATAGATTACATGAATGCTCTTCATCACGAAACACTTAAAGTGTACCAGCTTTAGTTTTTCTATTACAATAAACCAGGACTTTACAATTATTCTGCTATTCAATCAATCTGTTGAGAACTTTTTGGATGATTTATTATTAACCAGACGGCAAAAGAGGTCTTAAAGAAGATCGTGAATATAAAATAAACCAGGTGAAGCTTAAACTTGAGGATTTCTGGATAGAACATTTTCACAGAAAAAATGTTTATAGTATTTTTACAGTTTTAGATTAATGCTGCTTTAAATCAGTTGGTCTGTTAGCTAGCGGCATGTGTTAGTCTGTAATCTACAGCTTATGAGTAATTGATTACCAAAGAAGTTGATTATTTCAATCATTGGATTGTTTTAGCTCTACATGAAACCAAAGAATGAATCTTTCTGTCACATACAGAGGATTTTTTTCTTCCAAAATGTTTTTAATTTATGTAATACCTGCAATCATAATTAGCTACCTGTTTGTCTGAACATGTGGGATCTTAACAGATCCCTTTCTGAAGTCATTTAGAAGTTGTTTAGTCTGTGAACAGCTACCTAATGTGTGTTCCTCACTTAATGAAGCCATGCTCAACATTTTTATTCTTGAATGTTTCAGGCAGGAAGAAAAGACAAGAGCGATGCTCTGAACACGGCCATCGACAGGATGACAAAGAAGACCAGAGATCTCCGCAGACAGGTTTGTTGTTGAAAAGAAAGCTTTTGTTTCTTCGCCCCTAAAGCCTTTTTTTGTTTTTGCGTCCTGAATTGTTAAGATCAGAGAAGTGATCACAGAATTTTGTTGTTTTTATTTATTTATATTTTTACCATAATTGAATATTTTAAGCGATAGTTCTTCATTTTAATTGAGGCATTAGGATGCATGCCCAATTTCACAGGTCCCACCATCCTAATTGCAGCTGCTTTGTTTTGTTTGTTTTTACTTATTTACAGCTGCGTAAAGCCGTGATGGACCATGTCTCAGACTCTTTCCTGGAAACTAATGTTCCCCTCCTGGTCCTCATTGAAGCTGCCAAGAATGGTAACGAGAAGGAAGTGAAAGAATATGCCCAGGTGTTTCGTGAGCACGCCAACAAGTTGATTGAGGTAATTAAACGTGTTTACTTCAATGTTTTAAGTGCGAAATTTTAGGGGTTTTGACCCACGTTGAACTTAATTTACAGCTAAATGAAATTATTAACATGTAAAGTTGGTGTTGGGAAATTATTCATCCAAGAATCTTTATCACTTTGAGATGTAGTGACTGTAAAAGACACAGTCTGGGGAGATTGTGTAATGATCTAAGGTTTGGCAGCTATATTCTGTAAACTCCTTGCAGGTAAGCTATGGACCTTACCAGACATGCATCAATAATATGGATTCATTAATGAATGTCTGAATTGGTAGATGCAAACCGGTAATAGTTGCCTTAATGAGCTGATGTAAAACAGATCAGAGTTGCCATTTGACCCCGATACTGATCATTACTCCTTTCATCAAACCCAGAATGTCATGACATTGGATGGATTTTTAATTCATTTCTACCTCTGCTTGTCGGTCACAGGCTGCACCTGCAACCTTGTAATTAACCGGATCAGCTTGGCATATTTAAACACGTTATTGCAATTAGCACACAGTTTATATAGAATCTTGCATTTAGGCCCACATCCGTTTGAAGATTCCACAGAGATACCTTTCTGTTAGACTGTGAGAATTGATTGCAAAGTCAGTGATGAGAAGATTTTCTCAGATCTTAACTTTGATATGTTCTCTAATGCTTCAGTCAAAGCAACTTTTACTAACTTTTAAGCAGCTCATCCCCAAGAGTAAATGGCCGTAAGTAGTGGCTAAATCACTAAATTCTGAAAGGCGAGGGCAGCGTTAGGATTAACCAGGGGAAACCCGCTGGAGCGTTGGAGGGAAAGCGGGACCGCGCCGGGGAGTAGACCCTTAAGCAGCTCCTAAAGGCCTGAGTGTCATGTTTGGCATTAGAGCCTGACATTGGAGAACTTTTAATGCTTCTACTTGTGCAGGCACTTTTAAAACAGGCTGCTAAATGGGATGGGAGGGTGTAGATTCAGTACAGAAATGTCCGATATTTTAAGGTGGAAGTGACGGTAATCCAATTCTTTTTTTATTTAATTAGGACATTAGCATATATGCGTCTCTGTTGTTCAAAATCCACCATAACATCGAAAAAATTTAGATTTTGGGCATAAAAAATATTAATATAGCTTTATGTTTACAAAAGAGACCCATAAAAAACACTAACATTTCAGTTTATTTCTTTTTTCTACAGAGCTCACTAAACCTTTTTTTAAACATTGCTTATTAAAACTTGATTCATTACAGTCTTTTGTTTCAATGTTTTAATATGATGTTATGGTTTTTAGCATTCAACACGGCTAAACACCAAAACCACAGATTCTGATTTAGCTGCCCTCTCTTTGCTTATAGATATAAAATTATTTTGTTTTAATGGTGTAGTCAAACCGATCCCCGATATATTCTGTCAATTTTTGGGAGCGGTAATTCTTTAAGCTTTGCTTTCTCTATTTCTATACTGAAAATAAGTAGATGGTAGCAAATGTTACAGGAGTGCTGACTGAAAAGAAGTCATTAACATCGTAGCTCATTTAACATCAAGCTAATTCATGTTGATTAAGGTGTTAAAATGTCCACTAATAAAATCAGTGCTTGACCAATCGGAGTCTCTACACTTGTTGCTTGGTTAAATCCAGGTGGGCTCGTGTTTTTGTCCAGGCAACGTTTGACTGAAACAAGTACATGCTAGTCAAAGAAAAGTGTTTCATAGCATGGTAAAGTCACCGAAGTTTGCTGAGAGCTTGTTTATTAACCACAAAGATGGAAGCTATTGTTGAGGCCGTTAACTTTCCAATCTGATTTTTATTTTTTTCCCATGTCACACTGACTGCATAAAGCAGATCCTAATATGTGAAGATTTTTCCACTTCTGTTCAGTGCCCCACAAATTGAGACAATTCCCACATTTATTATAAAAAATTATTCAAAATAAATAAGTAAAAATATTTTTAAAGATCAACCAGCGCAGCTACAAAGCAAAGCACCGCTATGTGAGTCTGTGCAGCAACCAAACCAGAGGATTTTTCTAGGCCTGTATTAAAAATATAATGGGAACCACTTTTAAAGAAAAGGAAAAAGCAGCAATAAAAACTGGGGTACTGGGTGACACAGTGAGAGAAGATCTGTGAAGATTATTTTTTTCTACAGTAGAGTGATCAGCTGCACTTTCCTGTACTGTCTCTCATTGTTTTTGTGAATCTAAAAGAGAATCTCTATCCGTTTTCTGTCCTCCTTAACTCCTATCATTGACAAATAATTCTGTTTCTTTAAAAAAATAGTGCTTTTGATTGTTTATCCAAGCGTCTGTCCAGCCAGCGACTCCAAACCTGACTGTTTCCCCATGTGATTAACAGATTTTATTTTGTCTTTCCCTCAAAGCTAATGTGTTTTACTTTGTCACCGCATCGCTCTTCCTGTCAGAACCATGAAATTGACGTGGAATTGCTACATAGTCCGACTAAAGAATTCTCATTCTGAGCTATGAAGCCCCCTGCAGAAAATCATGTTGGGTGTATTTATCCCCATTGGCTCAATGTGCGCTAAAAGCCACAAACTCATCCGACGTGATTTTCTGTCAGATCGGAGGCTAAATCTGAATCGGTGTGTTCAGGTCTTAAATGGATATCAGTCTTCTGGCCAACAATGGATATTATAAATAAGCTGAACAGGATTGTTTGGTCTTTAAGTGGTATCCTTGGTCCTTACAAAATGAAGAAATATGCAGGATTCACTTTTCATTGGTGGAACCTACCAGATCTTTACTCTGTTTTTAAGAGCAGAGCAACCATAGGCAGCCTGAAGGCAGTCGACCTGTTAGCTCCCACACATTGTACAGCTACATTATGAGTGACCCATATCCAGAGAATGGAAGCAAACAGAAAAGGGATTCATTTTACCATGCACCAGCACAAAAATATGTTTTTCCGGGCATTATAAAATTTTTTTCGTTGTAAATATATCAGGGTAAAGAGCTGTAAATTCATAAAAAAATTTGCTGTAAGAGACCAGACAGAACTGTGCCATGCACCAGAAGGAACTAAATATGCTTTAATAGTTATACAGTGTGTTCATTTCTGCTTTTGGAGAAGTTGGTGTATTCACAAATTTAGGTTTTAAATAATGAGAGAAGGGATGAAACATTTCATCTGACCCTGGATTTTAGGAGCATTGCTCCACTTCTAGCAGCTGAAACCATTTGAATACATTTTGATTTTTGTTTTATTTGGAAGTCTTTAACATTTTACAAGTTAGTAAGTATGTAAGGTTTATATAAGATGTAAGTGCAGCTCACTGAGCCTGCATAACGGCCCTTATGATGCACTTAAGGCAACATTTTCTGATTATAATGTTTATCTGGAGTAGGGGTGTAAATCACACCCATCATGGCGATTCGATTCAGTATCGATTTCCTGAGCCAACGATTCGATTATTTTAGATACTCAAGCATACACCACGATACGTTTTTTTACACCTTACAGGTTAAACAAAGTTTCAGGTTTGAAATAAATCAATGAAAGCTGTAATATCGTTATGCATTTTTTTTTTTTTTTTTTTTTTAGAAACGGCAAATAACAGAAGTAGAAAAGTTGCATCAAAAAATACTGCAAAAATGCTGCACATAATCAGTGCAATGAGTGCAATGCAATACCTCGGCTCCAGACGCCCCGCCCCCTCCACAGACGCTCCGCTCTCCTCTCCCAAATTGCAGCTGACCGCAAACAGTGCCGCAGACAGAAGGCCGGCTTGTTTTGTTTTTATGACCGAAATTGCAGAAAACACCTCGTGAAGTTTGACCCGCTAGAAGAGCGAAGTGCACGAGAACGCTTGGACCCTCTTTCCACCTGGATCTCCGCTCTTTTTGGCCCTCATGTCCCTCCGTCGTCGGACTAAACTCGCCCCCACTTCCTCGCCGCCTCGGCCGTATCTAGACCCACAGTGTGTAGCACAGACCACGCTTCAATACTGAGCATAATTTAAAAATGTCTGTGTCAAGCTTGCTGCAACACACTGCTGTAACAGTATAAACAGGAAGCGAGGTAGGAGGGCAAAATAGGTTTAGCGCCACCGCAGCACGGGAGGGCGAATTACCGGGGCAAAAAGGATAAAAATAGACCGGAGTACACACAAAAAAAAAAAAAAAAAAAAAAAAAACATAAATCGACTCTCTTGTGGACGTGTCGATGCATTGGATTGTTGGCTGTTGGATCGATGCATCAATACAAAACGATTATTATTTACACCCCTAATCTGGAGTGTAATAAGTTAAAGATTGCAGTTATAGAATTCCTACTCATCCTGTTTACCTTTTTTTTTGTCCAATTCTATTAAAAAAGATTTTAGAGAACAAAGTAAGGTGCTATGACTTTATACATTTGGAACTGTAACTTGAAAAATAAAAATGAAGTGGATAAGAAACCTCATTAAGTTTTTAGTCACTCTGATGACACTGAAAAGGGTTCATTTCAATATTGCAGTTCTTGGATAACCTGTTATTCTCCCCTTATCCTGTGTGATAACCTGACAGAATATTGGCCTGTTTGGCTTCTTCATGCAGAAGAGGCTCCCAGTTACTAAGAGCTTATATAAAAGTTCATCAAAGTATAAATACAGGTCTTGTATAATGCATTTTTCCCCCCTCCAACCACTCTTTCAGCCCTCCTTGAGGATTAGTGTTTTCACTCTGTGGTCTCTGCATGTCTTTCAGTGTTGATGTTGAGTATGTTCATATCAATGTTTCAGTGATTCCCCTCCCTGTGCACTTGAATAAACACTTCTCATCAGAACAAATGCTCAGGACTTTCAAGGAGGGGGCAAACATTTGAGGGAGCAGAAGATATTTTATAATCCGATTCAGTTTACCACTTCTGCAGCCCCTGAGGTTTCCCTCCGCCAACATCAACCTAAAAAAATATGTCTAACATCTCTATTTTATGTGCTAGTTTACAAGATCTAACCTCAGCAACCGAAATACCACGAAAGGAAATCAATTTAATTGGTTTCTGTGTTAAATTCTTTAAAAAGTATCCTGTGATGTTATGCAGCTTTGGGTTTGTAGCGCTTTTTAGAGTTAAACACTTTTGATAAATGGGGGGAAAATTATTATCTTACAGAACTGATTGGACTTTTTTTACTTTAACATTTTTTGAACCTGATCAGATAGAGAAAATTGATGAGTGAAAATAATTCCAGCTTTGGTGCAGTCCTGATTGGTTTTTGTTTTGTTTTTTTTACTTTGCATTTGAAAGTGATTATGCTTCAGCATATTTTCTGTCCATTGGATAATCCCATTTTGGCACAGCTCCTCATTTCCCAGGCATTCTGTTTCAGCTTTGTTGCCAGCACATCCCAACCAACAAATGAGGAATCTTTAAACTCTCTGACCTAAATTCATCTAAATATGCATGGATTCATGTTTGTCCTTCAGAAGAGTCAAGTTTCATCTGTTATGATTCAAAAACTGTGAATATTTCCTCTGATTTTATAAACAAGTAAGGCAAGGTTTGTTCAGGTTTTTTTTTTTTTTTCTCCAGTTCTTATTCTGCTGCTTAGTATTTCTTTTTTTTTTTTTTTTTTTGTAAAGCCTGGACTATTTGCCGCTCCAGGAGGGTGATGAAAATCTGGCTGCCGGTTTATTTAGTCACTCAGAATAACCATATCCTTGAGTAATCAGCTACAGCTTGGATTGGCATTAAGTGAAACGTACCTGTTTTTAGGTAAAAATGGAGGTCTTATCTATTCAATCAACAGTGTAGCTTTTGTTTTTCTCCTGCTTTTCTCTGCCTGCCCTCCCTGCCATCAGACTGTATCATTTTAGCAGCTTTATGAATTAATCCCCTACATTGAGCTTGTATTCCTAAGGGATTATTTGCCTGGCAGAGCTGCTCTACTTCTGATCAATAAGAATAAAGGAAGCTAAAATACTAATTTTTAGTTTAATTATGTATTCGTGTTCCTTTCCCTCCTGCTATATAATGTGTTTTCATGCCAGTGGCTGTTTTCCCGCTTAAAAATAGATTTATTTGTGCTCTCCATTTAGGTGGCCAACCTGGCATGCTCCATTTCCAACAATGAAGAGGGAGTGAAGCTGGTCCGCATGGCAGCCTCTCAACTGGAAACTCTATGCCCCCAGGTAACGAGGTGTTTTGTAGTTATCATTTATCCGGTGCAGTGATTGCGCTCATCTTTCACAGCCTTCATCATTTTTCTTGTGGTGCTTTTGCTGGATGTTTCAAATGTGTGTGTTTTTTGTTTTTAAGGTAATAGAAGGAACAGATTTAGTTCTTTCCAATGTTCAGTTTTATGGATCTGATGGGTACATTAGTTTTTATCAGTTCGACTCGCCCGAGGCGAGGATAGCCTGACCCAACGATCTAACAGTATCAAAGTCTTTACAGAAGTATTTTAAACGGCTGGATATGCTGAGATAATGTGCTTTTATCTGAAACCGTTGGATAACACATTTATTGCAGATGTAACAATGTTATCATTTTTAAACGACTTCAACAAAAACATATAGTAAACTTGGCTAAATTCAGTAGTTTTTTTGAGTTTTTATGGGACTAGTGGCTCGTTTTTTCAACAGTAGGCTGACAGGAGGGTACAAGGGAGTATGAGACATCAGAGACATGTGGGAAAGGACCATAGGCTTAACCTGACTCCGCCAGATGGATTTGCTCCGCATATCCATCTGGAAACCTTCCGTTGAAGTAATTTTGGGAAGGGGCAAAAATACTGGTTAGCTGATTGGCCTATGTTGGTGATAGACGGGCCAAATAAACCAATCAGATCAACGAAGCATATGACGTACTAACAGAGCGACGACGAAGAGGAGCCAATTGATAGATCAAACTCTTGCCGAAACCAGTCGGGAGAAGAGCAGAAGCATCTTTTCCTCTGAGAAAAGCCTCCAGAGCAGTGTTTAGCTCTTCCTTCAGTGAAGAAATACTCTGTAATTCCGATAAAACTTGCTCGATAGCCACGCTAACGCTAGTTTCATCGGCTGAAGCCGCCATGTTCTTTAGACTGAACTGTCGCGCTTCTCGTTGCGTCACACCTCAACCCGCCTCAAAGCCAACGCTGATTGGACGTTCGTTTGGTGAACGGCTCCAAATTTTCTTTAACAGAGAGTCTCCAGACTGATTAGCGAGTGAAACCTTGAAAGATCTAGAGATCAGGATGGTCTCACGAGGCTATCATAGGCTGGATTCAAACCCGTGTCGCATACATGGGTCATGCGCGTTAACCACTGCACCACCTGCACGTCCTAAATTCAGTATTTTAAGTGATTCTTACACTGATTGTACCGTAAATTCCGGAATATAAGCCTCTACTTTTTCCCCGCTGTTTGAACACTGCGGCCTATAATACAGTGCGGCTAATAAGTTTTTTTTCATGGCGCGAAAAACAGACCAATAAAATTGAGTATTCACAGAGGTGATGACCAGTGGTGAGAAATCCGTCACCAAAACTGGCCGCATGCATTGGGCATCTTTCACTGATGTCTGCCAGTGGGTTCTCAATGTGTGGAGCCGTGTGAAAACATCCAGCATCGACGGCGGGCTTCGGAAGGCTGGGCTGCTGCGGGATGAAGAGGACCGCGAGTGCTCAAGTGAGAGCGACAAGGATGAGACTGAAGTCAGCGACAGCATCCTGAAGCTGTTCCATTCAGACACCGAGGAAGAGGACTTTGAGGGTTTTAGTGCGCAGGAGGAAGAAGAAAGTGATTAATGAGTTTTCCTGTTCGGCTGCAATGTTAGGTGTGTTGTTCGATTAAAAGTACCGGTATATGCAGCGTTATTTGCGTGTTACCGACACATACGGATATTTAAATGTGTTACAGATAGTTTGAGAAAAAAAAAAAAAAAGCATTCATAATATGTACCGTATTTGTTTGTTTTATCATACGGATTAAACCAAACGTTTAAAAATGCTCATGTGTAATATCTTTATTTGTAAATATTTCATACAAAATGGGAAACCTGCGGCTTAAAATCCAGTGCGGCTTATAAAAGTACAAAATTGATTTTCTTTCTAAAATTAGAGCATGAAGCTTGTAATCAGGTGCGCTCTATAGTCCGGAATTTACGGTAGAACTGTACAAGTTTAACGAGCTGATACGAGTTGGCTAATTAGCTTAACTATCTGCTGTTGGCTGCTGTCCTTTCCAATCATAGCTCACCTTATTTTGCCTCTATAGCAATAATGAAATCTGTCTGCTTTATACGCCATGGCATGTCCTCTTTGTTTTAAAAAAATCTAAACAGTAATTTTCTAAAGGTAAGATTCAGGAGCCTGTTTTAAGCCAGCTGACCAGTGGTGTGCAGCAGCAATTAGAGGAGATTCAGCACTTAATCACTTTACCCAAATTCAGCTGAAGAAAGCATTTATTTTCTTTGATTTAGAGGAATATAAACCCAGAAACTGAACTGGTCTGCTTCTGGTTATGAATCTGAAAACATTTAGTCTTTTAGATGTTCTCCTTCCTTCATTTTTATTTGTAAAAACAGATTTATACAGATTTGTAGCAACAATTTAGCTCAAGTTAAAAGCTAATCAAATACATAAACACATTATATATCTTGGAAACCATTCCCCCCCCCCCCCCCCCCCCCCCCCCGAAATGTGTTTTTTTAGTTGGTACATCTTCCCATGTTAATTACTGCTTCATTATTTATTCATATGGGATGTCTGACCTCTGGATTTCTTAAATTCTCCTCTTAGAATCTGCCCTCAGAAAACCCCTTAAACCTGCTACTCAGATTTGTTCTTCTGTCCTTGAAACCCCCCCTCACTCTGAGCGATGAATTTGCCTCTTGATAGAATCTGAACATTGATGTGGAGGCTTTGTGCAATCAGTGTATGCTAATGTTGTGGCTGAGGGCTATAGTGTAATTGGGCTCTAATGGTTGTAATCTGGCGATTACAGGTGATTAATGCTGCACTGGCCCTCGCTGCCAAACCCAACAGTAAGGTGGCCCAAGACAATATGGACGTGTTCAAGGATCAGTGGGAAAAGCAGGTTCGCGTCCTCACTGATGCTGTTGATGACATAACATCGATTGATGACTTCCTGTCTGTATCTGGTGAGTGATAAGCTCTGTTGTTTCTGCACAAAATAAAAAGAAATACTGAAATTTTCTAATTAACTTTAAGTATTAAATATAATCAAAATTAAAAGATAAAAATTTTTAATTTTTTTCTTGTCTTATTGGGCTGAACTAGAACCCCATCAGACATGTTCTCATTAAGCATTAAGTAGTGATTTCAATCACCTCCAGTCAAGGACGGCCAGCGATTTACACACTGGACATTTGTGATAATAAGCAGATAAAGACTTTGTCTTAAATTTTTTTTCTATAATCTTTTTTTGTGTGCTTTATAGATAAAACGTGATAACATTTTTAATGTGTTTCTTTTAATCTATGGGCAGAGAAGTAATGTGGGAAAAATCAAACAAAATTCTCACATCTTTATGTTCCCAGAGAACCACATCCTGGAGGATGTGAATAAGTGCGTCATTGCCCTTCAAGAAAAGGATGTCGACGGTTTGGACCGAACCGCTGGGGCCATCCGAGGCCGGGCTGCCAGAGTTGTCCATGTCGTCACTTCTGAGATGGACAATTATGAACCTGGAGTCTACACTGAGAAGGTTCTGGAAGCTACAAAGCTCCTCACCAACTCAGGTGGAGTAAAAAGTCTCTTCAATAATGTGTCATTCACTGAAGTTATAGTTATTAATGCTGTTTTTTTTTTTACTTATCTTTTGTTAAATTAATTGATTAAAATGCTTTAAAGCTGTCAAAAAAAAAGCATTGTAAAGGTTTTTAGCAAACTGTCAGTTTTGTTTGTTTAGCCCTTGGAAGAGAAATTAGTGTTTTTGTTGTTTGTTTTTTTAGGAAAACAGATGCTTTAATCTGATAAAAAAGGGTAAAATATTAATTAAAGATCAACATGCATGGTAAACAAATTGAGATATACTTTTTTCTTTTCTTCCACTCTTAGTTTCTAGATTATTTTTAGTTTTAAAGCAGTTGATCCATTAATCTTCACTATGTCCCTGTTTGACGTGTTAATTATTGCAGGGACTTTTAGAAAAGAAAACCTGTTTACATCTGGATTGATTCAATTTCAAACTCAAATCTCTGATATATAATTTTTTATTTTAATCAGCTGTGGGAGAAAAAAAGAATAATTCAACTGAAGTTGGATTTTAGTCGTTTTGTCCAAATAATGAGGTATATCATTAGTCAGAGAGCATCTATCTGTTAGCTCCCATCACCAACAAACTAATGTGACAGAAAGATTTTTCGGTTGTCAGATTTGGAAATGACTGGGCCCCCTTGAGGGTGGGTCTGTTAACTGTCACAAAACGCACACAGATTTTTCACCGAGGACTTTAAATAAGGCGGAGGGGTTCTGTTTTTTATCCTCATAACTCTAAAGTCAAAAAGATTTCTTTTTATTCTTAGCGGTTTGGATAATATTTCATAAATTTCCTCAAGTGGTTTTATTTCGACTTAATAGAGATTAATGTATCCAGTAACAATTGCAGTTGAATAGATGCAAGTATTAAATTTAAATGAGAACATGATTTAATTACCATTTTTCACTCTGTAACTGATTCTAGTCGACAGGCAGAAAGTTAATGATTGATTACATCAGCACACTTCCCACGAAAAGAAAAAATATCTGCAGAAATAAATTAATCAAGTTGGCATTTTATTTGGAGGCAATTAATTGTTACTGGTGTTCGACTTCTAAGTTAATATAAATGAATACGATTTGGCTTTAAAGTTGAGCACGTTGAATATCTCAGTCCGATTCTTCTGTACACAGAAGCCTGTAGGCTGTAAGTGATTTGTAAGCTCAAAACAAAATCCTCTTTGTTGATGCTGCTGCTCCCCCACCCGCTACATTTGCATCCAGACATCCAAGCGTCTGCCATGAAGAAGCAGCTAAATCCTAAAAACTGAATTTGAAACGATGCAAATGTGTGGAAAAGGCCTCGAGAGCAGTTATTAAATTGTCACTGGGGCAAAATGCATGCCTGCTGGGGCAGCTTAGTGAAGGCTTCTGTCGGAAAACTCTTCATGCAAGATTAGATCTGTTCCCAGAAGCAGTCTGTTATGTGTTTTAAACGCACCCTTTAAGGCCAGTAAACCCAAAGAGAAAAGTACACCCATCTCAGCATAATGCGCTCATCAAATATTCAAGGTTTTAGGATTTTTTTTTTCTGTTATGACCCTTTTTTCCCTCATACTACAGGTGTTGCCTTCTTTTTAGGTTAGTTATCCGAGATAAAATATAAATTTAATTGAAGGACTAAAAGGCTGCCTGTGGTTCTTTGTTTCTATTTGCATTCTTAATTTATTCTGTTGTTTTATTTGGTTATAATTTCTCATCAAAAGCTTTCTTCTTTTCCCTCCTCCCCTCAGTCATGCCACGCTTCACAGAACAGGTGGAGTCTGCAGTGGAGGCCCTGAGTGCAAACCCCTCACAACCTGTGGATGAGAACGAGTTCATCGATGCATCCCGCCTGGTCTACGACGGCATCCGCGACATACGCAAGGCTGTCCTTATGATCCGGGTGAGTTACAGATTTATTATTCTAAAACATTTTCCCTCCATCGCCATCATCCAGTGTAAGGACCAGTTAACACCATCACTCCTGTTGATTTAAAACCAAAAAACAAAGTTTTGATGAGATATGTAGTAATTACCTACCGTATTTTCACGACCATAAGGCGCACCGGACTAAAAGGCGCACTCTCAGTTATGTGTCCCATTTCTGTATTTAACACACACATAAGGCGCACCGGACTATAGGGCGCGTTTTTTATATACAGGTACAAGTCCTCTACTACCTTTAAATACCTCTACTGCGTATTTAAAAATACAGCGGGGGCAAAACTGAGTATGACTGTGCTTTATTCATGTATTTATTACAAAGTATTAATCAAACCTGGCAGCTGGCCGTGAGACAGACACATCGCAGATGACACAGCGCTGTGGTCACTCCTAAATTAACTTAAAATCCTGAAACCTGCTGACGGAATATGTTCGCTTTTATTGCCGGTATCCTGGTGCCTGCAGCTAAAATTATTTAGATGAAAAACACCTGCCAGCAGCCGCGGTGAACCCCAGGCTGCCCAGCCTACAGGCTGCTGATGAAGAAATTTCTGCTGTCAGCGCACCGCTGGTATGTGGGGGTCTGAGCGCCTCCGACAGAAATAGATAATCTGGATGAACTGACTGCAATTATTAAGTTTTCAGGTGGACTTTCTCACTTAAAAACATATTAAAACTACTTTATTCCCACTGATCACAGCAAATATAGCTGCAAGATTTAGATTATTTAGATGAAAAACACCTGCAAGCAGCCGCGGTGAACGAAAGGATTTCTCCTGTCGGCGCACCGCTGGTATGTGGGGGTCTGAGCGCCTCCGACAGAAATAGATAATCTGGATGAACTGACTGCAATTATTAAGTTTTCAGGTGGACTTTCTCACTTAAAAACATATTAAAACTACTTTATTCCCACTGATCACAGCAAATATAGCTGCAAGATTTAGATTATTTAGATGAAAAAACACCTGCCAGCCACCGCGATGAAAAGGAGGAGACGCGCCGGGGATGCTGTTGAATTAAGTTTTCAGGGAGAAAAATACAGCGGGAGCAAAACTGAGTATGATTGTGCTTTATTCATGTATTTATTACAAAGTATTAATCAAACCCATCAAAGTCATCATCCTCTGTTTCTGAATAAAACAGCTGCGCTAAATCAGACATGCCAGTTTCCCCTTCTTCGCTGTCAGTCACTTTCCGTGCAGCGCAGCTCCTCAGAAATAATGCCGGCTTTTGCGAAAGCTTGAACAACAGAGCCAGCAGACACTTTAGTCCAAGCATCTACAATCCATCCGCAAACTGTGGCGTAATCTGCCCGGCGCTGCCTTCTTATCCTGAAACTGTGGTCTCCGTCGGTCATCCATCGCTCCCACGCCGCTCGCAGCCTTACTTCGAACGGCTGCTTCACACCGATGTCGAGCGGTTGAAGCTCCTTTGTCAGACCCCCGGGATAACGGCGAGCACAGCGTTCATTTGATTCACCTTTTTTTCACATCGGCTGTGAGATGGGCACGCAGCGATGGTGATGCGTGGAAAAAACCACCTAGTCTTCTCGCATACGCCTGCCTCAGCCACGCATCCATCCAGCCTTTTCCATTTGCGTTAATATCATATGTCATCAGAGCGCTGTCTGTCTCGCTGGCAGCTCCCAGATCAGCTTCTCTGATTGGTTGATGCGGCGCGTCCAGCAGCAAAACTTCAATTTTTCCATCTCGAGCAGCAGAAGCGCGGCGCTTCAGATGCTTAAACGCTCCCGACGTGCTGCACCAAAATGCGCTGCGGGACCTTTTGCTGCACCTATATGCGCGTCAACCATTGACTTTGCATGTAAACTCGCTGCTTCTGCTGCACCTGCTGGGTCCGGTTCACACCGATGTCGAGCACCGTTAATTTGTTTCCCCATGTTTTTCACATCAGCTGTGAGATGGGCACGCATGGAGTTACATATTAACAGCGATGGTGAGGGGTGGAAAAAAAACACCTGGTCTCCTTACATTCAGCCACTCTTTCATCATCTCCTCAATGAGGTGGTCTCAAAAGTCGCAGTTACAACACACATAAGGCGCACCGCACCATAGGGCGCACCGCACATTTTGAGGGGAAAAAAAGACGTTTAAGTGCGCCTTATAGTCGTGAAAATACGGTAATAGGAAACAGTTTTTAAATGCATGATGAAAAATTACATCTAGCCTTTTTTTTTTTTTGGTGGTTATTTTGGGGGGAAAGGAGAGAATTTCAAACTTGTTCGTTCCTTGATGTACTTCTCTGTTCTTACTGGTAGTAATAACAGCTGATCCGATGTTTCGACAGTAAATATTCCCTCAGATAATCATCCCCAGTCCATGATGACCTTTCATCTCTCACTTTAAATGTTTCTTCTCCTCTGGTGCCAAAAACACTAGATGTGGCTTTACTTTATTGAAATCCATTTTATCAACTCCATACTTTAGTTTAGCTTCTTTCTTCTGTTTTTTTTTTTTTTTGTTTTTTTTTTTTTTTATAGAAAAAAATGTCTTGGTTTTTTTAACATTGTTTTTTTCTCTGTCTTCAAGGCTCTGATTTCTATTTACATTTTTTTTTACTTATTTTCTTCAGTCTTTCCTTTTCCTGTGTAACTATGACTCCATCAAAGGCTCATATATTCCTCTCTGTTATTCCTTCTGATAGCTCTTTAATATCGGCTGATTAGAAGTAAACATTAAAAAGACAGTGTCTTAAAATGGTCTGTAGGCAGCGACTTAATCAGATTATTCAGCGTAACTTATTGCCGTACCAATAAAAATCAACTTTTATGTAATTGAATTGTACACATTTTATTTTCCTGATGGTTAAAAAATCTAATAAAAAGTTTGACTTTTATACAGCAAATATAAAACAGATATTGTTCATGCTATAAAATAAACATCAACTTAACCCTTTATCGGGCACTCAGGGAAATACAAAAAATACATAAAAAATTCAAGCCAAGAATGTTATTGGAATCCAGGACCTTATGACCTTTGGAACATAAAAAAATTAAGTATATTTGTTTTGCAAAATTGATAACAATGTAATAACAAGAAACGAACACTTGTCCTGATATATTAACAAAAATAAAAAAGTACTTCTATAAGAAATTCATGAGAAACACATTTTTTTTTGTTACATCATAACCTTAGAGGCATTAATGCTGATTTAACCCCTTAACATTTTTTACTTTTTTAATATAGCTTATAAACTGTTTCACTTTTTCATTTAGGTTTTTTACTTTTTTTCCTTTACTTTTTTCAACTTAATTTAAAATATAGGTAATAAATTATTCAAGGACTCAGTTAATTGCTCAAATGCAAAAATAAGATGTACAGCCATATAGCAATATCTTTGCTGATTGGCTGGATATAAATCATGTGCTCCATTTTGAGATCAAAAATGGTAACTTGCCCTATAAAGGGTTGTTCTGTTGTTTTTCCCCCCAAGATTTAAATACTTTTACTAATGGTTTTTTCACAATAGAAAAAAAAATCCTTAATGTAATCTGCGAAACTCTTGGTTGTTTATGTCTTGTATTATTTTCAAAAATTGCAACGGACAAGTTTCCATTTTGTTTCAGAAGGAAAGGAAATGAACTTTTCTCACGAAAGAGGCAACCTAATTGACCAGGCAAGCAACCCAGTTTAGTAGCAATCTTTAGATGTGTTTGGGTTAATGGCTTTTGTCTGAGCAGAACCATAACTGAGACAGATGGTAGAGGGGAGCCATTGAAGGATTACTTAACCGACTGACGATGAGCTAACTGGAAAGCTGTATGCAGCTCTGAAAGTGAAATGGAAATGGATAGTTATCGTGTAACTGGTGTAACCACTTAAGCTTGCCATGTTTTATATGTCTTGCATGAGTTTGTGTTCAATATGTAGCCTATTATATATTGAATAGTCCAAGTTGTGCAGGTCGCAGGCCTTTTGCTCTCCTTTAATATTAGCACGAGTCCACATGGTGAGTTCTTTGCTTTCACTTAAGCTCTAAAACAGTTTATTGCTTTTCATCAATTATGCTGCTCCGACATGGACAAAAGGCAAATGAAAGCCGGCCTATTATGGATAAACATTTGCATTATAATGAGCATCTGATTTAAGATGGACATTTTAATTAGCATACCTTTGCTGTACTGCAGCACATGGGAACTACACTCCATTCCTATCGGCACCAGCTCCTCTCTTGTCATTCAGATTAAGCTATTAACACTGGCTTTATAGACTTGGCTAAACACTACACGGAGGATCAGCGGTTATGTGAATGTGCATGTGTGTTGAAACCAGCAGAGGATTAGTGGGGAACCCTGGCTAACTCTTCATTTATCCAACTGATTCATTCTGCTGTTAAATACCAGCTTGGGACAGAGTGATGGGTTAAACCAAACTTCCTCCATTATCTAAAATCTGCTGTTCCCCAGAGTGACTGGGATTTTACCCCAGGATCTGAAGGGTGATCTTTTAATGTTACCAGGTTTCCTCTGCAGTCTTGGAATAAAGTATTTTTTTTTTCCATTTGGATAATGAAAGGTTGAAAAATATCTATGCTAGGAGATTTTTTCTCTCTAAAAAGCTTTGGATCCATCAGTCCATCTCTTTCCCCTGCTCTATCCCTCTTTTCTTCCCATCTGTCTTTCATTTTACTCAACCAACCGTCCATTTTCTCCTCTGCCTCTCATCCACACATCCATCCCTTTTTTTTCCCCCAGTAGCCGTTCATCTGTTCCTTTTTCCACTCATCCATAATCTTCCAGCCTTCTATGCACCCATTCTTCCTTTCTTAGAGTTAAAAGCAGAATACATTTAAATATCTTCTATCAGATATTAGATTAGGGCTGGGCGATATAGAAAAAAAGCTAATCGATAAAAAAAATGCATATTGATCGATATCGATAATTATTGAAAAGATTTGAAACCATATTTTATGTGCAGCTCTGCCTGGACTTTTTATAATATTGCTAAATGATTTAATTTTAATAAAAAACACAAACACAGACTTCGAATTAAATCTTTATTTAACCAACTTTTTTAACCATAACAGAATTGTTTTAAAGAAAAATAACTTAAGAGACCTGAGTTATGTTATTAAATACTGACAAAGGATAAACTAAAGTGACCAGAAAAGTGACCAAAATAAATATAACAAATAAATAAATGCCCCCCCACCGCCGCCGCCGCCCCCGTTTTTCCTGCTTTAACCTGAGTTATTACTTTGAAGTTTCTGGTCCCTCAGCATTTTTATCTCAATTGTTAGAACTACGTGGGAAACTGCCCAGAACTGAAAATATATATATATTTTCCGAAGATTCCTCGGAGGAGAGCCGCACCGGGGCCTACACAGCTCGTACTCCTGCGGGTGTGAGCGGCTGAGATGATAAAAAAAAAAAAAAAGTTGGTTGTGTTATCAGACTTGGTTTTCACCGGTTCCCGACACATTTTCCAGATGACTGTGGTTTGTTTTTGGTCAGACTTGCCATGACCGAAATACTGCCAGACTGCCGAACTACAAAAACCCTTCTTTGAAACAATTTCCTCCGCCTCTCCTTGCTGCACAGCTTCATGTGCTCTGTGTTGTGTTGTGGTTTGAGAAGGCGGAGCTTGGTGACGGCATGCCTGGGTCTGCGATTGTGATTGGTTGGGAGGAAGCAGTGACTAGCATAAACCTACATGCTAGGCTACAATGAGAAGGAAGGAAAACAGCGTTTCTTTTTTATCGAACTTTTATCGACCCTCTTTTTTTCTATTGCGCCACACGTCTATCGATCGATATATATCGTTATTGAATTATCGCCCAGCCCTATATTAGAAACTGTATATTTTAACGCTATTTTAAAAATATTGGTTGCAATAAATAAAAACTTCAGCTTTCTTCTTCATGCAGGGCAAAGTTTATATGTAAAACAAGCCACTCTGAGATGAACGCAGATGTATGAAATTCTGCAGATCAGCGTAGAACTTCTCTAGAGGGTTTGCCCCCCCTCCTCTGCACAAACACACCGTTGCATGCTTAAATCAAAACAGACAAGCATGTGGTGGGTTCTTTTTTCCTTTTTTTCCTCTACGATGGATGTGTCTTTAACCTCTAAGTGGCTCACAGACAGGCTGTTGGATGTCCCTTGGATATATGAAAGGCGGATAGAACCCACTTCCCACCTACAGTGACATCCGAGAATATCCCTTTTAGACATGAAGCTGACTTGAAGTCAGCCAGCTGCTGACAGCTAGATACAGAGGGCAGTCATCGTCGTTACCTTCTGACTGGTGCAGTGCATCACAGCCCAAGGTGATTTTACTGGCTATATCCCAAAATAAAAATCTGTTCAGCTCACAGAGGCTATGAGTGTCACAAAAAGAACAAAACAATACGAGATTCGGTTGAACGGAGTTATTCATAGCGACGACGATGCACAGAGCTGGAGCCCATTTTCAAATGCCTTTTATTCTTAAGCAGGGTTCCCGCGTGTCCTTAAAAAGTCTTAAAAGGCATTGAATTCTTAAAAATAAAACTAAGGCCTTAATTGGTATTAAAATGTCTTAAATTTGTCTTTCGTAGGTCTTAATTTTTAAAACATAAATAGGATTATTTTTATTAGTATTTATTTTTTTTATCTAAATAAAACGTTAAAATTGACAAATTATTTTTTTTATTTAAAAAAAAAATAACGGCTCGCCAATATTGGTTACGTCCCGATAGCGGAACCAATAAAGCGTTGTTGCGGCCGGGACATTTGGGAGATGCGCCATTTACTTTTTGTCTGGAAAATATGAGCAAGTGTAAATGTAACCAAAATTGTCTCCAGCCAAGAGTTTTCTCCATGGCTAAAACCAGGGAACATACATGAGGCTCAGTGGATTTAGTGCAAGAAGCGATTCAAGCTCAGAATGATGAGAATTAAGGCAGTGGAGTCGCACATGCGAAGCACGAAACACAAAGCGTCAAAATCGAGTTACCGAGAAACAGCCGGTATTTCTCAGTTTAGTTCCACCCTTGTCTCTGCAACGCCTCCACTTATCACCAAATCAAACATACTAAGAAAACCATACAAAGAAAAATAGCTGCAAAAAGACTTAAGAATGGTTATGTTGTGGCTTTAAATCTGATTTTTGTTCCTTGCTAAAACAAAGTTTGTGAATTCAGTTAAATAATTGTTAAAATATATCTCTCGTTTGTGTGTTTTTAGCTTTCTTCCTGTATTTGAAACATTAGTGCAGTGGTTTATGTTAAAATAAACCTTTGGGTTAAGTTGTCGCAAGCTGGTTTTTCTTGTTTCTTGTGAATTTGGTCTTAAATTTTTATTTCAAGTGGCATTAAATAGTCTTAAAAAGTCTTGAATTGAACTTGCCTTATGCTGTAGGAACCCTGTTAAGGACCCTTCCTTCCTCAGCATCTGTAATTTAAAAAATGAAAAGGAGAATTTCGCTTTTCAGATCAAGTGAAGATGTTGGGTATTAAACACGATTAGGAGATTTTATGACGGAAGACTGTTACATATGGTTGAATATCAATTTCAGCCTGTTTTATTAATTTAATCTAACAGCAGGTTATTGTTGAGACTCTGTAGTAGAGTAGTCACCGTGCGTTATCATTCCTAAACCACCCACATTCACAGCTTATCAGGCTTATAGGCCACAGAGGAAGAACGCATGCCCTACTGAGCAGCATTGTCTGAGCTCAATGACATGCCTGAGAGTCTGTATCTGAAACGATCCACATATTCCCTCAAGAACAAGACCATCTCCACAATTTCATAAAGGACTATAAGGTTGTTCAGAGACTCTCTGCTATTTTCAGATGCGAAGGGCTCAAAATCCATTACAGTAGGGAGGACTGAGACAGCTGGATAAGCACAAATAGAGGCACAAGTGCGATAATGCACCTTTATCTGTCTGCATCATCTTCCCTCCTGCCACATCTCCAACAAACACTTTACCTTGTTTGTCAATGTTAGATTTTGCCTTAAGCATAACCTATTGAGCTCCAAATCCTTTTGAATATTATTGACAGACAAAATGTTGCTCCTGGCTCGTTTAGTATTCATGGCAACAGAAGAGGTGAAGGATCAGAAATGAAAAAATCCACAATAAATGCATTTTATGCTTAACAATTTATTTATTTTTTCTTCAGATGACAGCAACAGATGGGCCTCAGAAGTGTTTCCTCTAGAATGTTCCTTACAGGCTCCTTACCTTCATGTTCCTACTCAAAATGCACAGGCAGCACATTACAGTTGATTTACAAATTAATTTGGGGTTTACAGTAGCAGGCCGTAGGGAGGGAGTCATTCATCTGATGCTGGCAGCTCCAAGGCGTTTCTCACAGATACTAAGCAGGTTTATTATTTAATAGTCCTTTCAATGCTGGAGCGTGCCATTGTTGTTTTATGCGTTTCTCTTTATTACAATCTGCTTTTTCTTACCTCGTTCTTCTTCTATATCATTAAAGACTCCAGAGGAATTGGACGACTCCGACTTTGAGACGGAAGATTTTGATGCTCGTAGCAAGACCAGCGTGCAGACGGAGGATGACCAACTCATCGCCGGCCAAAGTGCTCGAGTAAGTTTAAAAACCTCTATGCTGATTCTCAGTCATCCAGGTCATAGTCATAGCCAGTGGATTTCTTATTATTTTCATAACTTTTTTGGTTTAACAACCTTTCAAATCCTGATGTCCTTCCTAAGAAATGCCACAGATGTTTATGGAGTGCCTTGCAGCATTCAAATTGAGTTTTTCCCTTTTTATATTTATATTACAACCGCCAACTTTAGTGCAATATATTGTTTTCACTAACAGGCTAAAGGATCTTCCCATCACCCCCCTCCCACCTTCCTGTTCCCTGCTGAAGAAGCATCCCTTATTGACTTACTATTAATTCATGATTATATGTTTTCTGGTTAATTAATAACATTTGCTAATAATTTCTTTCAGTTTAGTAATGGTTTGTCTGCTAGAGGGCGCCATCATTAATTTTTTAGTGAATTCTCATTGATATTTGTGGTAGAAGTAGTGCTAAAGCAGAAACATTAATGGATGCAGAAACCAGTCCAGAATTATTTGCACTGTTTAACGACGACAAGGATGCAGAAGGAACTTTATCTCGTCCTGTTAGATAAACTGGATCAACTCCTTACCACCTAAATTGCGCTCATTTAACCACCAGTTTAAAGGTGTTTCAGCATGAAGTCTCCTTCAGCACTGAATGTTGGATTACCCCAAAAACATCCCTTCACATGGAGAAGCAGCATTTAGTTCCTATGCTCCACTTATGTGGAACAAACTTCAAGAAAACTGGAAAAGTGCGGAAAGCCTGAGTTCCTTTAAATCAAGACTAAAAACACATTAGTTTAGGATTGCCTTTGACTGTTCTAGTTAAATAGTTCAACTAAAACATCATTAGTTCAACTTTTTGATTTTCTTTAGTCCAACTGTTTTTTTGTTTCTGCATATTTTATTTTATTTTTCCTACTTGCTTTGATTCTGCTTTATTTTCCTATATTTTAATCATGTAAAGCACTTTGCATTGTCTTTGTACGGAATTGTGCTATACAAATAAATTTGCCTTGCCTTTACTGTCCACTGAATTGAATCAAAGTGGCAATACCCTGGCAGCACGTCAGAGCAACATAATCCGTCTTTTAATGATAGTTTTACATCTCTGTACATTAGAAATCATAAATGATTCACCTATTTAAATTGTCTTTTTATTCAGTACACTAATAGGTTTGTGTTTTGTTATCCTTTAAATTGGTCTAGTTTAATAATGTCTAAGAAAACATTTTTTTTATTCTAGTCCGATACAATAGGCAAGGCAAGTTTATTTGTATAGCACAATTAAATAGAAAGACAATTCAAAGTTCTAAAGAGGTATTTAAACAATAAAATAGAAGAAAAACAAGAGCAGAATAAAAGCAAATAAAGATACAAAAGCAGGTGGTAAAAAAAAAAAAAAAAAACTGTTGGACCACAACCTTAAACTAATAATGCATCAGTTAAGTGATACAATAAATGGCTAAAATATCTTGATTTGCTATGTTTTTAAATTCAGCATATTAATACCCTTATGTCAATGAAAAGATTCTCTTAATAAAAGAGAGAACCTATTTAAAATGGCCACCCATCAATTAAAGGTATACTATGCAACAGGTGTTGATTTTCCAGCGAGGCTCCCCCCAGAGGGCAAAAGTAAAAGTGCACTGTGGTAAATATGCTCAGCTGTTCTCCTGGTTTCTCCATCAAGCCAGGCGTGGTTGATTTGAGCTTAGCAGACAGGGGAACACAACGAATCACCATGTCTACTGCGGTAGAGAGCCCTTTTCCTCTTCCTTGCCTGCTCAGACATGGGCTTTCGCTGTTTTCTCGCTGGTTCCGCCATGATAACTGCACAAATATCGCCACTGCGCTAGCAACGATCATGCCTTTCACTGGGGGCGTGTAGCAGTTCTCACCGTAAAGCAAGACCGACTCTCGCGAGACTTCTAAGCCTGTGGGTGCGGGCCGAGGGCTCCTGCAATTGCAAGTACGGTATTTCCCCTACAGACCACCAGGGCGGCCAAGAAAACCTTTGTTCAACCTGAAATTACTTATTTAATCATCCAAAACGTTATGGGACACATTAATTAACTGAAAAATGTTGCATAGTATGCCTTTAATTTGTAAAACAAACCAACAAAATCTAAGGGGTATGAATACTTTTACAAGCCATTGTTACTCTAATAAGGTGTTGAAAATAAAGAAAAAGTGCACTTTAATTTCCCGTGAAAAATATTTGCTTAAGGAACCAGAACCCTTAAAAACAAAGATGTATTTGTGTCTTGTTGAATATTGACCCTCAAACCTGTCATGCCTGAGTTAATACGTTCAATAATGTCCTCTAGCTTTAATAATATATTTCCCTATTCTGTAAACACTGAAAAAGACAGTATTTGTATTAAATAAGTTAAAATTTATTTATTTTTCAAACATGTTTTTATGTTGGGTGCGTTTGAGCATTTGTTCTGTTAAACACTCGCTGTCGATGGGTAGTGCACAGTCGGCTCGCCACCATAACGGCTAATGTGACCAAATCATTTGTAAAAACTCCCTTTGTGGAGCTCTGCCACACAGTCGGCTCTCATTTGTCCTTTTCTTGCTGCTCATAAATCAAGAGTTCATACAGTCTATCCATCAGTTCCAGTCTTCCAGGGAATCATTGATTTTCGGTATTTTTTAATAGGTTAAACGGTAAAATCTAATCTGTAAAGGACCTGAAAAACCTTTTGCAACACAGATCTGCTATTTATTCCTGCTCCACTTTGTGTCCTCTAATCATGCCAGAATGTAGTGCTTTTAATTTGCATCATTGCCCCGCTGTATGTGTGTTTCTTCAGTCCACTTTAATTTACTTTAGATTGTACATTTCGAGGCCAAAAGCATTAATAATTTAAGAAGCAGAGTTATAACTTAATCTTAGAGATCCATGGGGGCAGAATGATCCACTGGTACCTCTCCAAGCAATTTGTTTTGATCGTCAAAGATTATCTGAGCGTTTTGTTTGGGGGGGACTTTTGATCTTTACACTGCTTTATTTAAGCTTCCCTGGCTCCAGAGAGACTGAGCCTTTTTTACCAGTAATGGATTGAAATCTCTTGCGATGATATTCGATTTCCTGTTCTTAAGTGTCTGCCTACCTCAACATGACAGGATCATTGGGTGGATGTCTGATTAGCTGTTTTCTATCTCTCAGGTCTATAGACATGACTGTAAACTGATTTGCACCTTATGTCAATTACAAGTAACCGAATAGAATAAAATTGGTGGCATACAGAGAGGAAACAAAACCAGTCTTCAGCCCAACCCTTTACTCATTCCACCCTCTGATGTGCTGCAGCGCTGTAGTCTCCATGTCCAGGTCTCCATTACTAACCCTGGAAACTTGCTCTAATTCTTTCTGCAGGCCATCATGGCGCAGTTGCCTCAGGAGCAGAAGGCTAAGATTGCAGAGCAGGTGGCCAGCTTCCAGGAGGAGAAGAGCAAGCTGGATGCTGAGGTATCCAAATGGGATGACAGCGGCAATGACATCATTGTGCTGGCTAAGCAGATGTGCATGATCATGATGGAGATGACGGACTTCACCAGGTGAGATGAAGCAATAATGTCTGAACTCATAATGTCACAGCATCTCTGATCACTGATAGTTGAGATCTTAGTGTGGTTTCCTTTTCTATTTACTTAGATGGATAGAGAGATAGAGAGATAGATGGATAGAGAGATATATATGTGTGTGTATATATATATATATATATATATATATATATATACATATACATACATACATACATACATACATACATATATATATATATATATATATATATATATATATATATATATATATATATATATATATATATATATATATATATATATATATATATATATGTGTATATATTTATTTATTTTTTTAGGGGTGGAACGGTTCACAAAATCCACGGTTCGGTTCGATTCACGGTTTCTGGTCACGGTTTTCGGTTCGGTTCGATATATGTTGATTGTTACACCGAAATCCCATAAAAATTGATGTAATTAATGAAAAAATCCCCCAAAAAATAATGGATTCTAATTATTTTAAAAGATCCGCGGGAACCCTGGATCATTTCCGTATGTTTTGCTGCTTTAAATTTAATCATCTAGCGCATGCCCTCTACCATCTCCAAGGGACTCAGAGGGGAGCGGACGGACGGAGCCACAGTGGGGGCTGTAGGCTTTGCTTTGAGCAGCCGGTCTGGAGCGCAGCGGGGCGGAGCGGGGGTTGCTGACAGAGTGTGAGGGATTTCAAGGTTAGCATGACATGTTGGTCATGTTGCTGTTAGCGTAAACAAAACGTGTTGCACAATGCTTGCACACTGTTGCACCTTTATCCACAACTTTCTTTCCGCCGTCATCGTAGGTCACTCTAAAGTCAAAGTAGTCCCATACAGCAGACCTATAAAGTGCTGCTGGCGCGTCTTCCAACTCCTGTTCTTTCCCACTCGCCATTCCGACACAATTCTCCACAACAACTGATTTTTTCCCCCTGCTACACCCGGCTAAGCTGCTTCGCTTCTTCTTCTTCTTGTTTACTACCTGTGGTTGGCTTTGGTCGCAGTACCGCCACCTTCTGCTCTGGAGTGTAAACGCTTCCCCTATGAGAAAAAGGAGCAGCGCATGAACCGAACGAAACACACGCGAACCGAACCGAGACAGTCGAACCGAACGGTTCCGACGGTTTTCATAAACCGTTCCATCCCTAATATAGATAACATTAGACATTACAACACCTTTTACATCACTGCTTCTTTCTGTGTCTCTGCTTCTGTCTCTTTGAAACCCAGTCGGTCTCAGCAGATGGCCGCTCGCACTGAGCCTGGTTCCGCTGGAGGTTTCTCCCTGTTAAAAGGGACTTTTTCCTAGTTGCTGTCGCTACAAGCATGCTTAGTGTGAGGGATTGCCTTCAAGTCAATGATTCGATGAAGTCAACTGGTTTTCCTTAGATGGAAAACTTTGAATCACTTTGACTGTATGATCTGGTGAACTGTAAAGTGCCTTGAGATGACGTGTTGTGAATTGGTGCTATATAATTGAATTGAATTAGCATTGCTTTAATGTCGTCTCTGTTAGCTCACAGTTATATTCCTATACTGTTTTTTTTTTTTTTTTTTTTTTCAATTTCAGTCAACATGTCTCTGTGAACTAGACGGATATAATGAGCTTAAGCTAAGTCTCTGTCATGTACAGTCCCTCTGTAAGACTACATTGGTTAACCAACATTTGTTCGTATTTGAACAACGCTTCATACGGAGGGTGACTCTGCTGTTCGTGCTGCAGAGTTCTCCATTTTACTTAAGCAGTGGGGTAGCTAGGATTTCCTCTTTATTATTTTTCCATCCTCCCTTAATCTTAATATGCAGAGCATCAAATCTCCCCGTCCCCTGTTACATAAATAAGCTGCACTCTGTGTGCAGTGGAATGAAAATTAAATGGACAGTCTTCCTCTAAGGAGATGCTAAAGGCCAAACTCACCCTGATGAGTAGATTTTGTTGGTTTGTTTTTGTTTTTCTCTGGGTAGTACCTTGGATATGAGCTGACCAAATGCATAAACTGGCTAAGTGTCTAGTTCTCAGTTTAAGGATTTAGATTCATTGTTGGATGTAAACTTTTATTCCAGGCTTTAATTTCCTAAGCGTTTGATTATTAAAGGAGGTTTGGTGGTCTTTGGGCTTCCTTTTTTCTACTTTTTTTAAACATTGTGGCCTACTGTGGCTGAGAACAGTCACCCTACCCACTGTGGAGTGTTGTTTTTACAGAAAACCCTTCAGCTGTTTCTCTATAAACACTTTTGGTCACTTTCTTTCTATAGAGCGGCTCAGCCAGCGGTGCTGATTTAGCTAAATCTGAGCTGGCAGTTTCTCTGTGTGATATCGAATTCACCCGGCTGCTTCTGTCACACTGTCGGCACACACTACTTACCTGTTGTCATTGGGAGTAATGCATGCCCATGTCACAACTTTTTTATTCATGGTTTGCAGACAAATATAACTGAGGCCAAAACTTATAATTGTGTTTGTTTTATGGTGGTCTCCACATGGTTTTAGGTAATGGCAAAAAAGACTTTTCTTAGTTTCTATAAGCAGCAGCTGCTTCCTTCCTTTTCCCCCCAGTGACCAGATTTATTGAGTGCAGAAAAGTCATTGTCATGTTTACAGATTCTCATACTAGTGAACCTTTGAACCTCCTTTAGATAGACAGCCATGTTTTGGTAGGTTTAATGCTTCTCCATAATCTGTCTTTTATTTATTTATTTATTCATATGTATTTTTTTTTTCTCATTTTTTTGATGATTACTTTCTGAAACGGTCAAAGTTCAGAGAATGGTTTGATAACTTAACCCTGCTGTGACCTTTTCTTCAATAAATCCCTGACCTGCCTGCTGTGCCACTTGATATTCATGATGCTCTTGGCTCACTAATTTTCTTTCATGTAAGCCTGTCTGGCCTTTCCAGAACAGCAGGGTTACTGGATGTACATCTGGATTTACTTATTGACTTCTGAAGGAGATGGTTGTTTCATTTTATTTGGGAGTATCTTTATTAAGGGGCTGTAATAATTTCATTGTCACAAGTACAGTGCAATGAAATTCACCCTCCGCATTTAACCCATTCCCTTGGGGAGCAGTGGGCTGCCATATGTGGAGTGTCCGGGGAGCAGTTTTGGGGTTAAGGGTCTTTGCTCAGGGACCCAGAGTGGTACTTTTTGGCAGTGGGTTTCAAACTCGCAACCTCAGGAATCCAAGCTCTATACCCGAACCACTAGGCCGTTACTCCCCCTGTGAAATGTAAATCCCTTTATTGTCCCACAATTGGGAAATTCGTTCTCTGTATTTGACCAATCCCCTCGGGGACTGCCATTGTGTGGCTCCCGGTGAGCAGTGTGGGGTTAAGGGTCTTGCTCAGGAGCCCAGAGTTGAGGCGGTGGGGATTGAACCGTTTACTTATAACTAGGGATGCAAATTATCGATGAATTCATTAATCATTAGTTGATTATCTTATCGATCGACTTTCGATTAATTGATAAGCGGCGTTTTTCACCTGAGTTTCAGGGCATCAATAGGGCCTAAATATAATTGAGGTATAATATTACATTAGCCAACATTATGATACCATAATTATATTGTATTATATTATACATTCCTCAAGTAATTATGCATTAGGAGAAGAAAGCAGACACGTTTTTAAGGTAAAACAAAATCTTTAATAAAAAAAAAACCTGGCTCAGTTCTTGCATTTGAAACAGAAATAAAAAGAGAATAGAAGAAATTAAATAGAGAGCCAAACAGAATATTATTGAGCCTATAGGTTAGAAAGAAACTGCATAGGCTATTAATTGGGTAATCCTCAACAATCCTAAAATGAAACATCCACAACATATTTCTACCTCAATTTGTATAGGGTTACAGCAAAATAGAATGAAACGTTCACAGGGTCACTGAACACAACAACATAGCATAACATTACAGGGCCTCAAACCAGAACAATCAAATAAAGTGGTGATTCAATATTACCCTCTCCCAACTGAAATGTGGCACATCACAACTTGACCTAGGCCTAGGTTCTATATATTTTTGTTCAAGAAAATTAGCATGTTAACGTGCTCTGGGGTAAGGCGTGTACGTAGCCTGTTTACAGTGAGCCCAGCTACTGAAAACACACGCTCAGAGGGGACTTATGTGCCTGGCGTACACAAATACTGTTTTGCTAGTGTTGCCAGGGTCGGAAACCTCCTTTCATTCACTTTCCACCAGCACGTGGGGCTCGACTCAAGTGGTGCAGGAGGGTCCTTTAGGTACATATCCACTTCACTCTCCACGTCACCTTTGCGGGCATCGGAATAGGTTTCAGCCAGAAGTAAACTCATAGCAGATGTAGGCTTAGCCCCATGTCGCCGAGGCCCTGTATGGACAGTGTTACCGTCGTCTCCAGTGGTGGCGGCACCTGCAGTGATGCTGTCGCGTTCGGCTGTAGCCATTTGAAGCAGCGTGGAATGAGCTGACTTCCTGGTAGCTGGAGGAAGAAATCCCAGGTGTTTGTGACCCTGGTCTCTCTCGCGACACGAGGCGTGTTCTCATTCTCACGCTTTGTTCAAGTTACAGTAAAGCGCTAGCACCCTCTAGCGGTTAATCGTGATTAATACATTTTGATCGAGCAACCTCTTGATCGACAATTAATCTAAAGTCGATTAACCGTTTGCATCCCTACTTATAACCTTCTCAAAGGACCAGCGCACTGCTCTAACCACTAGGCCAACTCTCTCCATTTAACCCAGGGAGCAGTGGGCTGCCATTTGTGGCGCTGGGGGAGCAGAGTGGGTTTGTCTTTGCTCAGAGAGTCAGTGTGCAAGTTGTGGGAGTGGGGCTCAAACTCAGAACCTCAGGATTCCAAGCTCTACGCCCTAACTACTAGGCTGCCTCTCCCGACATCTAACACCCCTTTTTTTTTTTTTTTTTTACCATACCATACCAACTTTATTTATAAAGCACTTTAAAACAACCACAGTTGATACAAAGTGCTGTACAGTTTAAGAACACAACATAATAAAAATA